GAGCATTCCTGCTCCCAGCCCAGGGCAGCCTCAGCATGGGTTATGCTGCCACACTGAGGAACAGCCAAGGACCAAGGGACAACATGGAGGGTGAGATCTTCAGAGCCTGTGGGCCATTGTAAGGTGGAAGGTTTTCATTTAAATAAAATAAAGACTGAGGATTCTGAGTCAAGGAATAATGTATTTTTATTTTCATTTGAAGATCCTCATTCTGAGAGCTATGTTAAAATCGACTGTAGGGGTGAAACAGTAAAAGCAACAAGACCAGGGATAGGCAGTGTGTTGCAAGAGAGAGGCTGAAGGAGCAGCCAGTTGTATAAAATAAGGTGGTCGGATTCTGGATATATTTTGAAAGACTGGCCAACAGAATTTTCTAGTGACCAAATGTGTAGAATAAGAAACCAAGAGAATAATCTATTAAAAAAAACCAAACAAACAGATTTGGGTTCTGAGCAACTAGAAGGACAGGGTACTATGAACTGATATATAACAAGAGTCTATAAATTAATTGAGCCAGGAGAGGACCAAGAGTTTGGATTCTGGTAGGTGGAGTTTGAGATGCTTATTAGAGATGCACAGGGAAGAGGTCTAAGTCTGAGATCTGGGGATCCAACATGGGAGTCACCAGTTTAAAGGAGGTATTCAAGAACATGTCATGGGTCAGAGAAGGAAACAATGCAATGACCTACTTTTTTGGTCGTCTTTGTTGAGCACTTGGAGAGAAAAGAAGGAAATAGCAAAGGAGGCAGGGCCCATGTGGCTGATGACTACAAATACTCCAAAGGGCCAGTGAAGAAAGCTGTGTAATGAATGAGTCATTTGTCGCGGGCTACCAAGCAGAGGAACTCAAACAAGGACTAGGAGGTGCCCACCAGGCTTTCTGTGCACTTGTGGAGATGGCTTTGCAAGAATCCCTTTCAGTTTTCCCATTCCTATCATCTCTTGTTTTGACCCACAACTTATGGACATGATTATTTGTTTGTTTTGTTTTCATCTGAACACAGATTTTTCTAAAGTTCTGATTAGAATTGATTTATGACTTAATTTTATGTTGATCAGAGGAAATGCCCCATAATTTAGATCCCAGTTCTTCAGTGCTGCTGAGAATTTACTTTGTGATCAGCGTGTGGTTCATGTAATTGATTTTTTTTTTTTTAGAACAGCAACTGTTTTTTCACATTGTTGAGGGAGGATAGTTTTATTTATTTATTTTTCTTGTTTTTGTTATTGTTTTTCATACGTATATCCTCTTTGGGGTACAATTGACAATTAAATGCACAAATGTAGAGTATTCAATTTGTTTTATACATATTACCCCCAAAATGATAGTAAACATATCCATCATCTTGCAAAATTTCCTCAATGTGAGGGATAATTTTAAATGAAGATATTTTATTAAATAAGTAACTTAAAAATAAAAATTTTAAAATAATTCTGCCTCCTTGATTTTAAAGGGTGCACAATCCACATTATCTTTACCCATTTGTCGATGGACTTTGTGTTGTTTCCTTATCATGGGAAAAGAAATTCTGCTATTTTCACAGTATGGATAAAACTTGAGAACATTATGCTAATTGAAATGAGCCAGTTATAGAAGGACAAATACTGCAGGATTTCACTAACATGAGGTATTGAAATTAGTCAAACTCATAGGAGCAGAGAATAGAACAGTGGTTACCAAGCACCTATGGGGTCAAGGAGAAATGGGCGCTTGTTCAATTGGCAGAGAGTTTTAACTACGTAAGATAAAGAGTTCTATACTGACATAAGTATTATGCATAGAGACTTTATTAAAAGGGTGGGTCGCAAGCAAGCTAGGTGTTCTTATCACCAAAAACAAACAAAACCAAAAGCCCAGGAAGTTTGGGAGGTTAATGGATATGTTTATCATCTTAATTTGGGAGGTGTTTTCCTATATCTATGTATAAATTCAAATTGTGTACATTAAATGTGAAGTTTTTTTATATATCATTTATACCTCAATAAAGCTGTTAGAATATTCTATAATTGCACTACCTTTTTTCCTTAAGGTAAATGAACTACTGAGAGATTTTTGTCAGACTTTCTCATTACAATTTTGGATTTGTAATTTTCTTTCTGTAATCCATTAATGCTTGCTTTTGCTAATTGAAGATTGTGCAAATTAATGAATACTAATTGAGAATTCTTATATCTTCCTAGGTACTTTTTTCCTGTAGCAAACTTTTCTATTCATAATGGCATTTTATTCTTATGTATATTTTGCGGATATTAGTATTTCTATGCTAGCTTTTTTTGAATTAATAGTTTAATTTTTTATGGTTTTCTGTTAACTTTTTGTTTTTCCTGTATTTTGTACACTTTTTTAAATAACTAACTCATGATGAGACTCTAGTTTAAAATATAATTTAGTAAGAAGTATTTTTAACCATAAAATTCAATCAATTTTCATTTACTTTGAGTGTTGATCATTATAGAATCATTGTAGAATTATATTTCTGACTCTCTTATTCTGAGCTATTTTCCCTGGAATTTCTGAGATTCTTTCTCTTCCTTCCCCCCCCCCCCCGGCCTTTTACTCTATTAACCAATTCTATAATTATCTTATTATCTCTACTCTTGTAGTAGTCAAAAATCTCTTATTTGTTCTTTTGGTGGTCGCACATCTTTGAGGATGTATACTTCATTTCAGAAGTCTAAAGGTGATCTATTTTTTCCACTCTTAGTCTAAACCATGTAAAAACTTGAAACTTATTTCATGAAACTGCTCATCCCTTCCATTTCTCCTTACCTGATATTTTCCCATTCCACCCTGTTTATAGTTAATTTTTTCTTGTTTTATGTTTTCTAGTTCCTTATTCTACCTCTCTTCTTTCTTCAGGATTTTATTTCTTTCATCATAAAATATATGTTTTGTTAGTTTTTTTTTCTTTCTTTTTTTTTTTTGTTTTTTCAATCTGCTCATGGTTAACTTAGTCTTTATTTCTGTAACTGTCGGGGTTACTGGGAACACCTTATGAATGTTGTCTTCCAGTTTCTGTTACTATAAAAAGAAACCTGATGTCTTTCCTTTGTGGAGACTTTGGCTTTGTGTGCTGCAGCTTCAGGATAGTGTTTCTGGGTTTGGATTTATTTTCACTCATCCTGCCTGGAGCAGATTTGGAGTGAGCTGCCAGAAGAAGAGCCATTGTGACTGAAAAACCAGGTAATGAGCTGGGTGGGGGGGTGCTTACCTGTAATCTCAGCTACAGCTACGGGGAAGACTTAAGACAGGAGGATGGTGAGTTCAAGGCCAAACTGGGTGAAGGCCTAGAGGGAGAGGGAGAGGGAGAGGGAGAGGGAGAGGGAGAGGGAAGTTCTAAGTTATATCCTCAGTTTCACATACCATGCCTAATTGTTTTATGCTTCTTTCTTTATTTCTGGCCACAAATGGAAAGCTGACCTACAAGATTAAGAGGAAAGAAAAATCTCCAAATGAAAGCTAAGGTTGGCTCCGTGCCATCTTGAAACCTGAGAGACAAGTCGTTGGTCTGGAGTACATTGCCAGCTTAACACCATCAATGTTAAATATAGAGGTGAATCTCTTAGCAAAAGGGTTTTATTTGGGAACGATGTAAAGATTAGTGCAATTCAGGACACTCACACAGGTCAGGGTGGCCTCCAGTATATCTGAAGAACAAGGGAAAATTTCTGGATTTTATCAGGAAGAAGAAAACTTACGTAAGTTGTTGGGAAAGAAAGTTCATTGGTACAGGCCATATCTTTCTGCATTGGCAACCTCTGATGAGTGATTGATGGCAATTGCTGGGTAAAACTTCTAATTTTAAACTCACAGCAGGCTGTTTCATTGGATTAAGTTTACAAGACAGCATCTCAGGCAACCCAGCTGCCTAAGTGGCTAGCTGTTTTTGGATGCCACCTGCCCTTTGCAGGTTTCCTGTAGTAAACTGTGGTATGGAAAATTTTCTTAGGATAGTTCCTATTATCAAGACAACTCATGTTCCTAGAGGTATTCCCTGGCTCCACTGGGTCAGGGTTTCACACATGTGGCTCCATTTTGAATCCAGCAACTTTGACAATACATATGCTAAAATCCTCCCAACTAAGACCAGCTGCACTTCAACTCTGCACAGATGGGGCGCACTCTGCTCTCATCTGGTAAGCAAGAGTTGAAGGAAGAGCCTGTAGTCAATCAAGAATGTTCTTAACTTTCTGATTGCTCAAAAGCTTGTCAAGCTTGATCAAGGCACACCATAGACTCGTTGTCTCAGAACAAGAACACTCTACCTATGGCTGTCAGGGTCTGTTCCTATTTCGGATCCTGATTCTTTTAGGAAGCTAAAGTCATGTTCAATCTAAAACGCTCTGTTTCCTTCACTGACCATGCCAGCCCCTGCTCTGTTGGCTTAGGAAACCTGGACTACATTTTACAACTTACTTTATCAGCATGTTCAGCTGTAAGTCAATTACAATAAATAAATCTATTAATCTAAAATTTCTCATTTGTTCAGAAATTGCTAGTGGAAAATTAAGTTTGCCCAAATGACTGGAACATCTGATAATTTTTTCCTTTTATGTTTTATTAAAGGTTCAAAGAAATTAACCGAATTAATCAAGGTCCCTAACTAGCAAGTTTCAGTCCAAGTTTTACTTTGTCTTTCAATGTCTTTTTTCCTGCTCCTACTGTCTGAGAAAAGTGTGAAATATTGTGACAAAAGCAAGAACTAGAGATTTCACAGATTAATTAGTATATGTTCAGATGCAAGAAAAATAGAAACAACTGTCTTAAACCTTAGGAGTATCCATCGTTTACTCAATAATCAGTTCTATGATGAGAAGCTTAAAGGTTCATCAGTGAGTCCATCAAGAACGCGTCTCTTTGGGGTATGTTGGCTCTTTGTCCTGTGTTAATCACTTTACAATCTCAAGATGGTAGCCTGCAGTTCCAGGCTATGTTTTCACCCCAGAATACCAGATACACAATATAAAGAGAGAAAGAGTCTCTTTTATCAAAAAATTACCTTTTATCAAAACCTACTGCAGAAGCCTCAGAGCAGGTTTCTTCTTCTTCAGTGACTGGAATTGTCATATGGTCCATCCTTGCTTTAAGGGAGGCTAGGAATGAAAACAGAAAATGTCCTGGCTGCAGACATTTTCTGCTCCAAACAATTTTTTTTTTATGTAAGAAATGAAGGGAGTGGGTTTTGATGATAACTAACACACACCAGATAGTTTCCTCTAAAACCTGAACACTTTTGAATTATCTCTCAGAGCCACATCTTGAGCATGAGCTGAGCTCACCGACAATGCCTGAGGATCCTACCTTCCCTGCACCATCTGGATCCCCTTCCATCCTTCCCCCACACATCCCTCAGTGCACTCTATAATCTCCTAACCTTGGGCACTTGTGCCTGCCTCTCAGAGGGCACTAATTCATTCAACAGCATTTAGAAAGGGTGGTTTGCACAAGGCTCCCTGGGCGGACCCTTGAGGCCCTAGGATACATCACCTTCTTAAAGTAGGGAATTCAACCAAGTGCTATGAGCACTTAAAAGGAGAATGTCCACCATAAAACAAACTATTCTAGTAACTCTCATCTTTAAAAAAAAATAAAAAAAAGTTGTTCACCTGAGCCCCACATTCCTTTCTGACAATGACACCCCATTCCTTCTTATCTCTTCATAGCTCATATCTTAATCTCCAAATCTACCATTTTCTCTTTTCATAATTTTCACCAGCTTTCTTCTGGCTCCCCTTTAAAGGTTGTCATTTTCAAGATCACCCAAAGTGATAAATTCAATAGACACTTACTTGTGTGTCCTCAGAGCCTCTCAACAATGTCTCCAGGTGAATGTGGCCAAGAGGCATCCAATCCTACAGAACATCCTGCCCAAGGAAGAAGCATGAGACTCTGGGTGGGGTCAGAGGGGCAGGGAGTGCCCAGGTACTGGTGGAGTGACGGATGTTTTGGAAAATAGTGAGAGAGGGATAGAGTTTGAAAGCCCAGTTAGGCATCTGCACTTCATTCACAGATCTGAAACACATCTGAAGAATTTTACATGTGCTCTGAAAACTAAAGACAAAATTAATCTCTAAATACCCAACTCACCATCAAAAGAAAGAAAGAAAAACACAGCATTAAAGAGCAGAGTTGGAGGACTGTTCTCAACACTTACTTTAAAACAACAGTAATTAGGAAAGTATTGTTTTGATGAAAGAACAGACAAATATATCAATAGGACAAAATAGAGAACTCACCAATAGATCCATGTAAATATACTCAACACATCTTTGACAAAGGAACAAAGACAATCTAATGGAAAAATAAAAGGTTTTTAGAAAATGGTGCTGAAATAACGTGATGCCCACGTGCAAAAACATAAAACTAGACTTCTCTCTGTCCACAAAAATTAATTCAAGATGAATCACAGACCTAAGTATAAAAATCACAACTGAAAAACCACTAGAGGAGAGCAGGATAAAATCTTAGTAACCTCAAGTTTTACTTTTTGACACAACAGAAGTACAATCCATGGAAGAAAATAAATGATGGATCAGCTAAGCTTCAATAATGTAAGAAAACGCTTGACCTATGAAATACTCATATAAGAGAATGAAAAGACAAACCACAGGGGCCAGGATTGTAGCTCAGTGGTAGAGCACTTGCCTAGTATGTGTGAGGCCTTAGGTTCTATCCCCAGCACCACATAAAATAAATAAACAAAATAAAGCATTGTGTCCATCTACAACTAAAAAAAATATTTTAAAAAAAGAAAGAAAAGACAAACTACAGACTTGGAGAAAAGATTTGTAAAATATATATCTAATAATAAAGCACTGGTATCCAAAACATAAAACACATCCTTGAAAGTCAGCAATAAGAAAACAGATCATTCAGTTAAACATGGGCAAAATATTTGAAGAGAAAATTAAAAATGAAAGATTGCCAATGACAATTAGGCACATGAAAAGATGGTCCACATCATCTCACCAAGAAATTGCAAATTACAATGACTGCAATAAAACTACTCTTTCAATTATTGTAACAGTAGACACATAAAATTATGTACTTTACATACTATAAATGCACAATACAAAGAGTAACTCCTGATGCAAGCTATAGGTTTTAGTTAACAACATTAGTATCTGTTCTTCTTATATAACAAATGTGCCCACTTATGCAAGATATGATAATAATGGAAGTGAGCATAAAAGAGGGGTCTATGAGAGTTCTCTGTACTATCTGCTCAGTTTTTTTCTGTAAATCTAAAGCTGATCTTAAAAAAAAATCTAATTTTTAAAAATTACAAATAATAGCCATCATGGTATGATTCTCAATTTCAGAATCAAATGTTGATATTTTTCCAAATGTTTTACCTTATTTTGTTTGCCTAAATTTCACTGGTGAGAGTACAATATTTTTAGGAAAAGATACCTTTTTTTTCCTTTGCTTGCAATCCCCCAAATACCTATTAAAAGTCGTGAGGTGGTGAAATGCATGGAGTTAGAGCTTAAACCATAATTTGACAGTAAAAATTTGAAATTAGCTTATATTCTTCTGAAGCCATCTTAGCTTTATGCTAGATGAAAATTCTGAGTTATCCAATATATAGTGAGCATTTATTCCAGCTCATTGAAGCTAACTATTCACAGGACTCACTGAATTAATTTGTACAGGAATGTTATTTTTAAGAGAGTCTATTGTAAATTCTAAATCATGAGAGCTATCTTGGCACTTCAGATACGAAAATGCAATGGTATCGTGAAAGCAGCATTTGATTCCTAAAAGAGCAGAATGTCTCTGTGTTATGTTTTTGTGTTTTAGCTTGCTGTAGACAATTCTTTAATAAAACCACATTTGGAGTTGAATGGGATCATGAGGCCTAAAGGTGTCTTCAGAGGTCATTTGGTTCATCTTCCACATTTCCAATGTTATTAAACTCCCCAAATTAAATCTCTCGCCTTATTAAATCTAGATCTTGCCAATGCACAGTTTTCCATGTGCTCATAAAACTTGGCCTTCTCCCTTCTGGGCACAGACACAGACCATACTTGCCAGCCTTGCTTGTGATTGGTGTGATCACGTGACTGAAGTAGAGCCTGTGGACCATGAGCAGAAGAAGCCATATGTGTTACTCCCAGGCTTGGCCCAATCCGAAGCTCATATGGCTGATGAAGTTTTATTCTCTTATCTGAAATGATGGAGGAAAAAAATAAAAACATATTTTGCAGGACCTGTATATCTACAGCCTGAAAAGAGACCCTGAGCTATAGAGGCTGGAATCCTACAGAGAAAAGAGGCTCTTGGAGATGCATCTTTCATTCTGGAGCTTATGCTGGTTTTGGATGAGAAAACCCAGGAGAAAGTCAAGCAGGAAGAAGAAACTCAGCAGATACCTTGGAGCCTTCTGAGATTAGTCGAATGTGATTAGAATCATCATTTTACAAAGAAACAAGGTCCCAGAGAGGGGAAGTGAGCCCACCCTGCAGCCATTTATTGATTCTCAAGCTTTGAAATACAAGAGCCTGGGAAGGTGCGCAGAAAGTGGTGAAAACAGGAGAGTAAGACAACAGAAGGCTTCAGTTTGGACCCTTAGTGGCCTTTACTTTCATGGTGTGTTGAACCTAAAATAGGCCAGACTTTACAAAGACTGAAAACCAGCCCCTGGGGTGCTCCAACACTGCCTAACCCCGTGGCCAGAGGATGGATTGAACCACAACTGAGGAAAGATGACATGCATCTGGGTCTCTCCAGTGTTTAAGACTAAGAGAAAAAGCCTACAATACCATGAAACAAGGAAAAGAAGAGGGAGGAAAAGGGAGGGAGAAGGGGAATTGCACGGAAGACAGAAGGAGACTCTCATGGGTTCACAAAATACATATACGATGGTGTGAGGTGAAAGGGAAGAAAAAAAAGAGAGAAGAGAGAGAGATAAGTGTCACAGTAGATGGGTAGAGAATAGTGATGGGAGGGGAGGGGAGGGGTGGGGGGGATAGGGAGGGCAGCAGAATACAACTGACACTAGGATTGCTGTATTTATACATATGGATGTAAACCAATGTGATCCTGCAATCCGCACACATGGAAAAATGAGAATTCATACCCTATTTGAATCAAATGTATGATAGGTCAAGATCATTGTATTGTCTTGAGCAATTAATAAATAATAATAATAATAAAATAAAAATATTTAATCAAATCAGTTTGTAAAGATCTATAATGATTAAAATTTGCTTAAAAACCAATACTCCAGTATTATTGCTTCTGTCAAACTCTAGAAGAATTAGCTTAGGCTTAAAGAACAATATGTAGAAAAAAAAAGAAATCAAGAGACACGTGATATTCTATGGTTAAGAAAATAGATGACAAGATGAAGAAATTCCACCAGAGAACTGGAATGCATGAAGAAGAACTAAATGAAATTTCTCAAACTGAAGGGTGCAAAAATGAAATTAGAAATTAGTAGGTGGTCTGAACAGCAAACTGAAGAGAGGATTAGAGAACTAAGGGGTATCAGGTAGAATCAACTCTACTTACCTATCTCTTCAAATATTTGTAAGAAATAAAGATTTAATACAAATAAAAATATTTAAAAAAAAAACATGAGAAATCTAAGGGCAATGACGAAATTACCTAACACGCATGTAATGAGAGGTCCAGGAGGGGAAGTCAGAAATCATGAGTCAGAAGAAATGGTGAAATTACATTGTGTGCAGGCAAAGATACGTAACAACAAATTCCACCATTATGTACAACTACAATGAACCAATACAAAAATGTGAAAAGAGAACACCTATTTGTTATCTCTTAGCATCTATAGGTCAAAAGTCCAGCTAGGCCGACCTGGTTTTACTGCTTAGAATATTACAAGGCTAACATCAAGGTGGTCAGCTAGTGAGGCTCTCATCAAAAGGCTCTAGTTGTTGAAAGAACTCTGCCCCATGCACTTAGAGAGCTCAGGTCCACATTTCCTGTGGCTGTCAGCTTGGGATCATTTTCAACTCTTTAAGACCACCTATGTTCCCCCATCAAATTGCATCCTTCATCTTCAAATTGACCCCTTCATCTTCAAATTGCCTCTTCTAGCAATAGCCCACCTACTTTTCCTCACTCTTCAAATCTCTCTGTAATTACACAGGACACAATTTTGCTGTGCTGACACTCCATTACAAAGATTTCGTTCTTTCCAGCTTATAACAACTACTCCTTTACTTTCATCTGAGCTCTTACCAGTAATATCCTAGGTGTATATATTTCTACTAACATTCTGTTCTCTAACATTTAGGTGTTTTTTTTTCTTTTTTTAAAAAAAGGTGATTTATGATTTTTTTAAAATTCTCTTTTACTTCAACATTGTCCATATCTGGGAGTCTCTTCAAAGTCATCTACAATTTTTCTATAATGCTTTTTCAGAATTCTTCCAGCATTCACCAATTGCTTGATTCCAAAGCTACTTCCATCATTTGGGGGCATATAGAAGTAAAGCGAATACAAAGCATCAGAAATAACAGAAGCAGCAAGCTGAGGAGGATTTGAAAAATTATAAAGTAGCCAATTATCCTCTGTCAATAAGGTGTTTATTAGGAAGGAAAGTGGGTTAGGCAAAATCTAGGGGGCGCTTCAAAAGCCAAGTTAACTCACTGTAATCTCTTAGTGATGCAGAAGCATCCAAAGTCTTATTGAGATAAATAAGAAAGCAATTTTGAGTAGATCAAAACAAAAGGGAGTGGGTTTTTTTTTGTTTGTTTGTTTTAGTTTGAGTCAATCCAAATGAAAAGCATGTGAAATTCCTAATGTCAAGAGGCCAAGAGGAAGATTGACGTAGCAGAAAGAGGACACACACTCTGAGTTTGGGACCTAGCTCAGCATCTGTGAGTTCCATGCCCTGTAGCAACCTCCTTAATGTTTCTGAGACTCATTGTATTTATCTGTTTGTAATGGGACACCTTGGACTTGAGAACTCTGATTACCTCCAAAGGAATAAAATATGATATCGGTTGGCTTCAAGATATGAAACAATTTCCAGGCAAGCAAAACCCAAAGAGTAATTCTTTAATGAAGAATATTGGTAAAATCTTGAGTTGACACCTGGACTTAAAAATGAAGAATATAATTGCAAATGTGAGGGACACCACCCAAACACTCTTAGTCTGTCTCATGCCAGGCACTTCTGTAGTGACCAGACCTGAGTGGTCTTGGGGTTGCTTCAGACAGATGCCAAATGATAGTGCCTTGCCTCTGACTTCTTGCTTCTTACTGTGGGATTTTCTGAATGCACGGTTTGGGTCATCTGGCACCTGACCCTCAATTCTTGTACAATCTGGAGATGTCAGAGAGTTTACCATCTCAGGCTGACCTTTACCAAGATGGGTCAGGAGCTGAGAAAGTTCCCAATGTTTCTTGGGAATTTTATTCCCTAAGGATAGCCAACCCTATACCTGTCATTGTCTTGTTTTTCTCCAGCTCTCTGTGTCATGCTCCTATCCCCTTGCACTCCATTCTTAATCTCAAGGATTGTGTCCCCAAAAATGCAGCTACATGAAGATTTTCATCTGAGGTTCTAACCTTCATGGGAATCCAGGCTACAGAGAGAGTAGATAAAGATAAATCATCTATAGAAAGACTGGATCAGTCAGCAGAGGGTTGTCAATGTTAAGGAACCACAAAAGCAGACCTGGGGGAGAAAAAGATGCAGAATCCACATGCCAAGGAGGTCCAGGGAAAATCCAAATATTCCACAAATGGTAGGAAACTCCAGGGTGCCTCACCTGGAGGCCACCATAATTCTTGTGCTAGACTTGCCCTTCTAAGCCCCGAGTTGGTCATGCAGTTTCTCATCATTTTTCTGTATTCTAGAGTTAATAGAAGATAAAGCACTGGCCACAGTGCCCATTTGTACTTGGTTCCTAAAGTAAATTCAGATTTTGAAGCTGTAGACTAATCACTAGACTTCGGACAATAAAGAATTCACAAAGCCAAAGCCCCAGAGCCCGGGGATAGAAGATCTTCTCCCCACCTTGCCAAGCCTGTCTTTCTCAGGTTTGATACACTTCCTGCTTCTCAGAATAAGGGTGAGGGGTTGACCCAGGTCATACAATGGTAAAGCACAGTCCTTGGCCATGGTAGATATTCCACAGAGGCCAGTCACAGTGATGGTGAGATTTCAGACAGCCCCTGGAGGTTATTGGGGTCTCTTGGGAGTGGGTCCCCACATTTCCAGTGAGTTCCCTGGGCAGCTGCCCCTCTTTCCAATCTGCTAGCTGCCATGGCTATCAAGTAAATTTCCCGTGACATTTTTCCTTTTTCCTTTCTTCTTACAAATGAGAAATGAAATATAAAATGTTGTTCGCAGCCTACCGCCTGCATCACGGCCCTTTGGAGAGATGTTGGCATTTAAATGCCAGACGGTCTGTTGAAGTCAGGATGAGGCCAGCCTCAGGCTTGTCTTGGGGTCAGGGGTAAGGGGCAGGGGTCCTCTTTGGTTTCTGATTTAATAAGAGGATTGCTTCCAGCCAAATGCAAGGCCAGAGAGGTCAGCGCTGAACACACGCAGCTCCACTGAGAAATAAAGGGGCCAGATGGTTATTACACTGTGTGTGTTTCCTGTAAAAGGGGAAAAAAAAATTTCTAGAGGTGACTATAGCAAAGGCTGTTCATCAGGGGAGAGGCACAGCTCATGCAGACAGCCGTGGTCCGGCTCTGCCCCAGAGGGAAGTTTACTTGCAAGGAATTGTGGAGTTTGGTCGTTTGATATGTGATCTAAAACATGCTCTCAGATCCCTGGGCTGACTCGGCTGGGAACAGAAGCCTCAGGGGAAGGAAAGAGACTCAACCACACTGTGGAAACAGAACACATGCCTCCCTCCTCTTAGATCCCCTCATTCCTCATTTTGATGCTTCAGAAGACTCCTAAAAGCATAGCTGATGACAAGCGTGGCAGCTGATGGGCCTGGAGGCCACAGCAGCCAGAGCCCAGCCTCCCTCTGCCACTGGCAAGGAAGGAGCTATGAGCAAATGTTTGTTCCCAATATTAGTCTGCTCCGTTATTAATGTGGACTAGAAAACATGAGCCTCCATCCTCTTACAACGAGGTTAGGAAGGATGATTTACCTGAACTACTGGTGCATGATCAGAAATTCAGGAAACGAGGGGTCCTTCCTCTTTCAGCCCCGCAGTCAAATATGAAGTCTGAAAGGAAGTCACATCCTCTCTCACCGAGAAGACAGATAATGAGAAGCCCCAGGAGCGAAGCTGTGTGTCCCCTTTAAACAATGCTCCAGCGCTGCTCCTTCAAGGACATTCATCACTGGGAGCTCAGTGGGCCGATGTGGCCCCCCTAAGGCTGGTCGGGGCATTGTTACCATATTTCCCTGTTAATGAACTGGGCTGCTGTTCCACAGTGTTAATGGTCAGAAGTGTCATTCAATCAAGTAAATAACATTTCAAGCAGTTAATAAAAGCAGTGAAATTCCTAACTGCTCATAAAAAAAATGATTTCCTAAAGTAGGACAAGCATAGGCATTCAGTGATCTGTCCTTGACACACCAATATCAAGCAATCAGGATCACTAATGCTGCTTGAGTCTGTTGAGGATTCTTCCCTCCATATGCCTTTTAAAATAAATCGTGTTTCTTTTGCCTCTTCCTCCCTCATTAGCTTTCCAAATGTGTTGAGTTTTTTTTTTTTTTTTTGTAAGTTTCCACCTTTGGGGAAAATAGCCATTCTCACCCACCGTTGCTGCTTGTGAAGTCAGTCTTATTATGTGCTGAGATTTCAAACACCACCCAGCTTGTTAGAATTCTTTTCAATGTCTCTACGTTCCCAGTTATCATTTAGTTTCCAAAACCACAGGTAATACAGTGCAGGTCCCTGCAGGGTCTTCAGCATGTGGGTGAGAACCTGAAATTAGGAGAGTCCGTTACTTTCAGGTCTAGAAGCTTCCTTCCTTCCATCTCTCATTTCATTCTCTGAGCCTCGACTCTCCAGTTCCAAACTGGGACCTGAGGATGCACAGATGCATTGATGATGTTTCCCTCCCCCCCCCATCTCAGGAGACTGATGTGCACCATTATATCACGGGGGCTTCATACATGCATGGCCCCTTTCTATCTGTAGATCCCCTTTTTATGGGATGGTGCCACAGCCATAGAGGAGAAGTCCACCACATAGCCCCCATGCCACCCTCCATGTCTACAGGATGTGATAAAGTCTCCAACATGAACTCCATCCTGCACGCCAGCCTTTGGGAGGGCTGAAGGAAACCTCTTTTGTTTTGAGTTTGCATGTTTTAACTTATGCTTCTAGATGACCCTGTGGCATGTCCTTGAGCAAAAGAAAAATGAGGGTGTGAGATGATAGGATCAAGGACTCTGAGAGAGGGTTGAGATACCATAGGGTACTAGAAAGAACACCTGGCAGTGAGGAGTTTTCTGCTTGGTTTCACACAGCCTCGAACTTGTCATGCTGTTATCTACTTCATTCCATTAACTGCTCCCTCACCACACTTACCCTTCCATCCAGCCATTCATTTACCCTTGTGCTCCATTCCACACCCATCTATTGATCACCTGCACACACCACTCCATCACCACCTACGCATTTACCCACCACTCACACTCTCACTGCTATCCTACTAACTCATTCATCATCTGCTCCTCACTGATTCACACCTGTGTGTGTGGCTACTCACCCTCACCTTTACCACCCACTCGTCCACTGGCTTAAGCACTCTCACACCCACTTGCTTACTGAACTGTCCATCTTCCCCTTCACCCTCTCACAAAAGGTCACTGATGAGTGACACTTTGGGACGTGGAAGCTGTGTTGTGAAGTGGTAGAGATGAATCAGACTCAAAAGGCAACTGAGAGGAGGTTCCAGGTCAAGAATAAATACAGACAGTGGAGTCTATGATGGAGAGGGACAGTGTGAGACAGGAGCATGGGAAGACAGGAGAGGAGATAAGAACTGGGAGATTCATCTCCAGGTAAGGAAGAAAATTTTCATGGAGGTGTGAGCCAAAGGCTAAAAGCAAAATGGAGTGTACCCCATCTTGGAAATACTGCAGGTTAAAGCTAGAGTGGTGGATGGGAAATGTTAGCAGGGCAGCTCCTGCAGCCTGTGGAGTTGAGGCCACTGTGGGGAAAAAAGGGAGACTCAATGTGGAGGCAGGGGAAGTCATCAGTGCATTTAGCTGTGCACTTCAGAAAATTCTCTTTGATGATATGATCAGCGTCTCCACTTGGTCATCTACAAAATTAAGCCCTAACACCCTTCCAATTCTCCAATTTTAAAGATCTCCCCAGGTAGGAGGTTAGGGAGCACAGTTAAGAAGTTGCCTTCATTTGGCAGAAGATCACATTGAGGAAGTCCAAGAAGTTGAATAGCTCCTTTCCTACTGCCCCTCTTCCAGGATGTCACAGAGACTCTCAGCTCCCTGATACAGGATTACATTGTCATTGACCTCAGTGGAGAAATACTTGCCATGTGTGGCCGCTCAGGTGTAAACTCTGCCTTACTGTGGGACAAAAGCTATGATGTACCAATGAAATGACTGCACATCTGCTTTCACTGGTGTCATTTAGGATCAGTGGATGGTGATGTCTCATCTATGTGGAGTCTGCTCCACAGGTATAATAAATAGAGATTGTGGTTGCTCATGTTTAGTAAGCCAAATTCCCCCCCCCCCCGAAGGAGCACCTTGGAAGGAGAGGGCTCCAGTACAGTCAGCATTCTGACTCTCTGTGCTCAGCTGGAGTAATGGGGTGTTGTCACCTGTTTTTGACAGTGAACATGACAGGAAATCTCTGAATCAAATTTAGCCATTTCCTCCATTGCAGGAACTTTCCCATATTAAAAATATATATATATATGTAAATTCCAGGAAATATGGGATGATTCTCAGGTAAAAAGTTCATCTTCGCATCCCAACCAGTTTCAGATGCCAAACAATGCAGCTGTGGCCTAGCAACCTCCTCAAAGTCTTTTCTCTATCTTCTTCCCGGCCACCTACAATGTCCAATAGACATGCTCTTCTCGTCCCATAGCTATCATCATGCTGGTAATATTCTTTCAAGCTGGACATCTAATAATCACTTCAAAAATACTACTTACAGGTCCTCATATATTCACAATTTACACCTGCACAAGCACCAGGAAGCTCATGACCTCTCAGAACCTATGTTCCTGAGCCGAAGGTACACCAGAGCCTTTCACTCCACAGCCCTTCATTGAAAGCCCACCATGTGGCAAGCCCTAAGTCAGGGCCTAAAAGGTACAAAGTGGTAATTCCAAGCCCCTGACTCCTAGAGACCGGCCATAATTATTAAAACGTCGTTTTGTCCAAATAAAGAATGACAGAGGAAAGGTGCCTGCCTCAACTTGGTGGATTTCAAAAGATGGAGTTAAGAGTACTAGGGGATGAAGGAGGTTGGGGTCAAGATATGGGGATCTTTAAGGTGCTTTGGCACCTGCAAGTCATTCTACAATCCCTGGTGCAGAGACCAAGATGGCAAGTGGTGATGTCGCAGGAAGAGATGCGGTGGGACTCATGGGAGCTACTGTAAAGAGTTTGGATTGCAGCCTAGAAACTTCTCTGAAGAGCTTTCAATATTTTTATTAGTACATTATAGTTTTACATAATTGTAGGATGCATTTTGATATATTCATGAACATATATAACATCCTTCGCTCCCTTTTAATCCTCAGTACTACTCCTTGTCTCCCTTCTTTCCTCCACCTGATGCCATATCTATAATCTTCTATTTATTTTTAATTGACTAAAATAATAAATTATTTTAATTTTTCTATTTATTTATAATTTAATTATAGTTATGCATAAGAGTGAAGTTCCCTGTGATTGCACTTATTCATACACACACATAGCATAATTTGATCAAATTTATTCTGCAGTTCCTCTTTCTTTCCCATCTTTTCTCTCCCTGCTCAATTCCCTTCCTCTACTCCACTGTTCTGCTCTCCATTTTCATGATTTTCCTCCCCCACTTTAAAGATTTTTTATTCCTCTCTAGTTTTTGTATATGAGAAAATACACTCAACTTTTAGCCTTCTGAGTCTGGCTTATTTCAGTTAGCATGATGTTATCCAGTTCCATCCATTTACCAGGAATTACATAATTTCATTCTTCTTTAGGGGCGAGTCAAACTCTATTATGTATATATACCACAGTTTTGTTATCCATTCATCTATTGAGAGATACCTTGGCTGGTTTCATAATTTGACTATTGTGGATTGTACTCCAATAAACATTGGTATGCATGTATCACTGTAATATTCAGATTTTAGTTCTTCTGACTCTGAAGGGTTTTAAGAAGTTGAAAGGCATGGTCAGATTTGCATTTCAAAAAAGAAAATGATTCTTGTAGAATGGCAGATAGGTTGGGAGAAAATATAACTAAAGGAATCGAGGAAGAATGGTGAGGATTTATTAACAATAAGGACACAGAATGTATTAAAGTATTGCAGAAGGCATTGAGGAAAAAGAATTCACAGGGCAAGTTTTCTCATCAGATGGGGAGAGTAAAAAGTGGAAGAAAAGGTCAACTTTTCTGAGATGCTGGAATGAGGTGACATTTACCAAGACAGGCTATGCAAAAGAAACAACAAGGTCTAGGGGCACAGTCATGAGCTTAGTTTAGGATCAGTGGATGGTGATGTCTCATATATAAGCATGTGTGTGGAGAGTACAGGGGCCAGCAGGCTCTACTAAACTTTAAATTGACAAATTTTCTTTTTTTCCTTTATTTTAAGTCAAATTGTATCTAAATGAAAAACAATACCTATTTATTGAAAAATATATCCAAAGGAGAAGAAAAAAAACTAAAAAAGGTAAACTGAAATTCTGAAATAATTCTTCTATTCTCAGACAGACACTATTAATACTTGGACATTTATTATCCCTGAAGCTTTTTCTATGTATATGCAAATTACCAATCTGCCTTAACCATGTCCTTAGGTCTCTTCACAGTCTTCTAATATTTGACCATTTAGTCCATGAAATCTAATTTGTATGATTATAGGAAGTCCAGGATTTCATGTATAAATATGTAAAAGCAT